CCGTCCATCCACTTGCATGTTAACGATTCCTTCCTCTTCGTCTCGCTGAGTCCGATTACATGATACTTAATCCGTTGAGCTTCATCAATGAGTGCCGAAAGCTGAGCGGCTGAACTGATACTTCTGCAGTTGTACGTGCAGGTTATCAGATGACTCGCTCTTGTCCTTCTCTTTTTTGTGTAGCTTGACCTGAGATTATGAGCCTTTGGCTGTGTGCTAGAACCAGCGCTACACGACTGAGCAGTGACAGCCTGCAGGGGACTAAGGCTAATGTAAGAAGTGGTCGTAGCATTTTTCGTCCCACAGGATAGCCTTGCTAGGGCGTTCCTGTCGCTCAAGGAGAGCGCCGTCCCACCAAGAGCTTGGGCACTTTGGGTTCTTTCGTCACGGGAATCAGTATGGGGTTCCGGCGTAACTCTACCCTGACGGGTATTCCGATCCCGCTTCAAGCTCGTACACCACGACAAGGTAGAACCCATGTACGAGTTTCAGAAGAAATAGAAATAATCAATGTGGAAGCCTCTACGCTTGATGCTCTCGTAAATTTCTGTTACTCTGGAAAGATCATGATCACCGAGGATAATTCACTGAGTATTCTGGCCGCAGCCTGCCGTTTTCAGTTGGAGGAAAGTTCAGGTTTGTAAGACGGTAAAACTAATTTGCTGAAACCTCAAGAGCTCGTTCCGCGTTCAACTGATGCTCAGATGCCCTTTTTCCATGCTAGTCCTGTCTGCAAACATGAAGGCAGGGCACGGCGTTGTTGAGGAAATCACGACAAAGGGAGAGCCTCATTTGATCGCGAAGGATGAAGAGGGGTCGTAAGCGCAGGGCTCATTCAGAACTGAAAAGAGCAGTAATACTGAGATGTCGCACAATCACTGATTGATAGAAGATTTATTCACGGTTCTTGTCCTGAAGAACACCTGAAGGGAAACTTGTTGACCAAGGAAAGCTGCAACCTCATAAGTGGGAACGGTAATGACGAGAATTTTGGTAGAAGGCCACGACGATGTCGTGAACTAATAAACAAATGCTACACGGTAAACGCTCGGGCCTTACTGAACGTAGAGCACTCTGCTTGCACGAAGCTAGAAGTTACATCTTTCCAACTCCTCTACGCGCGAATCAAATGCATGGCGCATTACAGAGGGTATCTCAGTCGGCGCCAAATGTACTCTGACAATTCCGACGACAAGTTGTGTTCTAGAAGCTCACAGCAAATGGTAAGTTCCTCAAAGGCATCAAAGGCACGCTCCGCGATATGGTTTAGAAGTTGAAAATATGGCACCGAGAGGGTAGTGTGGTCCGCGACGAACAACCTTGTACCGGTTTCGCGGCAAAAACTTGTAAGGGAGGGCGCTATAGCGTTAATATAGGTTCAGTGGCGCCTCCTTTTTCCAGCTTCCAGACTGCGCCTCCAGCCTCCAGACTCTACCTTCAAGAGCAGCCTTACAGTGAGGAACGAAACTGTCGGACGAAAAGTTATGAGA